ACTTATTAAATATCATCAAATTCATCCATCTCATTAGATTAGTATAAAAACGAAAACTAATTACATATTTATATTGTTTCTTTTGATTTTATTAAAAAACATTATTAATATTATAAAGTTGGGTTTTATTTGCTCTCACTGGTAAAAACTTCTAGTTTAGAATGTAAGTTTAAACATCAGAACCGACTAATACGTATAACTAAATTAATTAAAGTAATGAAATTGTGGTTTTTAAGTTTTAGGAGTGTGTAAAAAATAATTAATTTTCAAAGGGGGCGGTAAAAGAAATAAGTTTGATAATCACTGTATTAGACCATTCATGGTTTCCCTATGAAATTGGTTTTGATAATTGCGTATAAAATTCAAGCGATTCCACTCCATAGTTATATAGCTATGAAGAATATGAAGAATGTATTGTTGCGTTAAACGCCCAGCGGTAGTAAACACGTTGAATTCCTATGTTATACGGAAGCGCTATATAAAATACTGTAAGGCAGTTAATAGCAAAATTTACAACGTTGAAAGGAAGCAAAATTTACAACGTCTAGAGAATAGTCAGGATCTCCATTAGGAAATAATAGAGGAAAGGTCATAGGCTCTACATGATGAGATAATTTATACAGTTTTTGACATTGATATTCATGTTTAGGATACATTATGAAATCAACATTTGGTATATCACCACCTACACCAGTCACAATAACTGCTGCTACTTCCCCTCTAGCACTTGTGGTGGGAAGACCTCTCTAGCACTGTCTCACCTCTAGCACTTGATCCTTTACAACTGTTCGGTGGAATTGCAATTTGATATCTTCATTAGGATGTTCTTGATATCTATCATAAAGAGTTCTATAAGCTTGGGTATATGGATTTCTTTCCATGACATTGTGAATAGGAAGCAAGACAGATCTAAGACATTTATCTGAAATTCTCCTCGACAATGCTGAATCACTGTCCTGGATATAAATTTGAGAAAATTTGTGATTTTGATTATTAGGAAGGATCAAGCTTGTTGTCGCAGTAACATTGACATCACCTTTAAAAGTAAGACAATTGATCCCTTTAAAAGAAATTTCATGAGATGGACAAAAAGCTGCTATCGCAAATGCAGAGTTGTACGATAGAACATTCTGTTTAAAGTTAATTGCATCAGAATGGCTGCCAAGTAAAAGATGTTTCAATACTTCTGGATATTCCAGATTGGTGAGCTCAACTTTGCCATGATGGCAGCAATTAAATTTCGTTCTGCCATGCTCTGCTGGAAAAGAAAGAGCACCACAGTTTACACATTCATCACTGAATGTTCCTACGTAAAAAGGGGGTATAATGTCTGATAAAGACTCACCAAGATATTCGTTTTCATTTAAACGTCTTGATTCTTCAACGTTTCTTCGCCGCGCATTCCGCCGTCGCGTATTGATAGCACTACGATTATTGTACGGGTAATTTTGTGCTGCTTAAATTATGTTCAGCTTTATGTCGCTGTTGATATCGCCTAAGATATTCACTTCGTTCCGTTCTTTATATAAGTATTTTAAAGTAAACTCTCTTCAATATATTTTGATAATTTGGAATGTAAATAGTCTTTTGAGAGAGTGTTGATTCGTGCTTCCAATAACTCCACCAGATTTATCAAAGCTATTAAAATATATTGGAATGCTAAAATAAATAACTGCGTTCTATCAAAACAAACATTTTATTATGAAACTGTAGAACAACTATCTTTTTACATTGACACTCAACATTATTAATAAACACTGGATAATATTGCGTTAATGACACTTTTATCTAATGACGTCATAAACAATTGTTTGCATAAAGTTTAGTTCATAATAATCATATGTAATCGTTTGCATAAATTGTCGTTCGGTCTTTTTATTCGCGATCCCAACGGTCGAGTACGCCCTCTAGTGGGAACCTGTAAATATCAGACATTAATTTATCACGTTTTCATTTAGTTCCATCAAAATCATCGGCGGAATCAGACGCCATTTTCTTACAAAATTTCCCTAAGAAAAAGGCAGAAGAACTTGAAAAAACTCTCCAGAATATTGGTAAATCTTTCAGAAACAGAACACGTCAAACATTTGAAGAAAAATTCCTCAGTAATTTTTAACTTCTATGATCAACAAACTTGCAACTGATAGCTTCCGATTTCGCTATCGCATACTGTTACAGATGTGTGTATTAAGGTAAAATGCATTTCTTCTGTCTTCAATTCATTACAAATTAAAGTGAAGTCAATATTGCTTTCGTCGTTCCAATAAATAAAAATGAATTCAGAACGTACAGAACTGTAATAGCTATAGAATATTCTTCTTCGTTATAGAATAGTATATATTTCTGTATCCATATAATTCGGAAAACAACATTAAAAAAATATCCAAATCACTTGAAATAGTGCCATTTGTGCTGATTCTTAACTAGTTTTTATTGTTTTCTTGGTAAGTATTTTTTTGTTTTGAAGGAACAATTTCAACTAGAATTCAGCTATTCTGTTNGAAAACAACAATAAAAAAATATCCAAATCACTTGAAATAGTGCCATTTGTGCTGATTCTTAATTAGTTTTTATTGTTTTCTTGGTAAGTATTTTTTTGTTCTGAAGGAATAATTTCAACTAGAATTCAGCTATTCTGTTTTTAGCAACATATTCAAATTCATATCAGGATCTTACAATTATAAAATTTTTCTGTGTAGTATGTTATATAAAAGTAATGAAGGGTTAAACTATGTATCTATTATTTGAGAATAAAGTTTTCAAACAAAGAACATATCATTTTGGAATTCTCCGCAATTATAAATCAGGTAAGTGTTATGATTTTTATAATAAAAAATTTGCTTGTAAATAATTTTTTTTCTCATTTGATGATAGTTCTCTACAGAATGCTTTTTTACGTCTGATTAAGAACTATAAGAATAAAAAGAGAAACAATATGGAAGTTTTTTTATTTCAATGTGAGGAATTTTTAAAATCGTTTTTTTATCCTAAGAATTCTTTATTTTACGTTTTTTAGTTTATAATTTTTTGATAAAAATTGTTCTCAAAATACTTTTTTTGAAAAATTAAATGGTATAACATTATGTGTTTATGTATACTTCTTGTATATTCCAATGTTTGAAGTAATATGATTCAGAAAAGTATGGAATAAAAATTCGGTACT